TTAGTCAAAAGTTTTTAGATAGCTTAATTTCAAAATATGTAAAAATATCTTGATATTAAATTGCAATAATACAAAATGTTATCAATAAAAAAACTAAGATCAGGTCTTACTCTTTAAAAAAAAAAAAAAAAAAAAAAAAAACTTAACTCTTAATCCTTTTATACTTCTTTTTTCTTTTTCTTTATTTTTTTTATTAGTTGTTATTGGTTTTCTACTCTATATTAGAGTTTTTTTTTACTTTTTTTTTCTGTTTTTTAGTTTGTTTTAGTTTTCTTACTTCTTGCTTGGACTAGCATACTATGAGAGATATTTTTATTAATAATGAATCCTATCAACTACTTCAACTGATGCTAGATAAACTTGCATCAAAACATTCTATTGAAAAACAAGATAACTATTATCTTGCTAATATTTTAACTAGTAAATATATATATCTCGATTTTGTATAGAATAACTCTTTTTGTGATGTACGTAAGCATATTTATGTGGTACGCTTATTTAACAATATTGAAGATTATAAAATTACACTTGAAACTGTAAAGCATGATCTTGTACTATATTTTTGTAATAAAGAACATGCAATACCAAATAAGCAAAAAAAATTTTATCATTTATAATAGCTCTATTGATATAACATTTCAAGAGATTCTTCAAATCTATTCAGAACAAGGTAGTGATATTTTTTTTCCATATGAACGTGGGTCACAGAAAAGGATCTATTTTGCCCTGCTGAAATGCCAGCATGAAGAATAGCAAATATCAGAGCTCCTAAAGTATATAGGGCTAAGCTACGAAAATCTAATAGTTTTGTATCTACAGCAAATCAAAAAGTATTTAAGTTTAAATATATACAATAAATTATATAAAAATATTTTAATTTTCATATCTATTTTAATTTCTAGAATTATATAACTGATAATGATTTAATGTTGCTTAATGAAGAATAGAATTGTCAAATTTATCTGATTCAAATAAAAATCCAGTGGTTAATACAAAAGAAGCATTGTGCCTATTATCTCTGTCAATTCAAAAATAAACAATAGCTACAATTCATAATCGCAAATGCAGCATTTCAAAAAAAGTATCTTAATATATATTAATAGTTGAATAGTAATTATATACTAAAAATTCAAGTTAGATAATTAACAGTATTCTACTATAAACTTTTGATAGGTTGTTCAAAGTAAAGAAAATACCAAGAAAATTGTTGCACGATCGGCTCTTGAAAATCTCTTTGCAGAAAAGCAATTAAATTAGAAAAGATGTAAATTTGTAAAGATTTGTATTGAGCAGGATATTTGTTTAGATGAAAATGCAAAACTTAACAAGAAAAAATTATTTATCTGGTTTGATACCAAAAAAACTAGGGAGAAACAAATATCTAACTTGTAGTTGCTATTACTGAGAGTAATAATTCATTTTATTGTTTATTCTTACATTATTATTGCCTTCAAATTAGTTAACATCTTGCAGTTTAAGCACATATCTAGTATTGCGAAGTATAAACATATTAATAGTAACCTTTCTGTTTTTATTTTTAAACC